GGGGGGTGAAGGTTAAGTGGGTTTTACCCACTGAAACCCCCGTTCATCTCACCTATACTGGAGTAATCATAAGGGTCCAATGTCTTGAAGCTGGTATCGAATTGACTCCGCTCCTCAGAGTCCTGGTCTGAGCATACCGCGTACAGCGCGCTGCATGTTGGATTGAATATCACCTGGAATATTTAATGTATATATAATTCATATTATTAGTCGCCTATTAATTGGTAATTTTAAAAAAGTAACTGTCGCCCGCGACTCCGTCCGCGCGGAATTAAAAAAAAACTTAGTAGCCTATGTGTTCCAGACTATGTTCTACATATATACCAAATTTCATCAAGATCTATACAGCCGTTCCGGAGATACCTTCAAACAAACATCCATCTAAACATTCGCATTTATAATATTAGTAAGATTGCTTTAGGCAGTTCTACAGATTAGTTTAAACTATGCCTAATTTTATATTCATTCGTTTGTGCTTCATGAAAAACGGTTTATAAAGGCTCTCTATGATGTCTATGGACAATGACAAATTCAGCCCTATCAGCGCCCTGGGCGAGATTTTTGACCCCACCCATTTAACTATGTCTTTGGGAGGAGAGGTTACCAGAGACTGTAATTCGCAGACTTGTAGCGCCCTGGGCGGTCCTCCAACTGCGCCCTAAGCTAAAGCCAGTACTATCTATAGCATCGGTCCCTTCGCCATTTTAGCGAATTCCTTCACTCGGATGTAAATTCCAACTGTAATCTTACAAATATAAATGCGAAAGTTTAAATGGATGTTTGTTTGAAATTTGGCATCGATGTAGAACATAATTTGAACACATAGGCTACTATTTTTTTTAATTCCGCACAGACGGTGTCGCGGGCCACCGCTAGTATATATAAATAGCAGACTAACCTCAGACTTGTCTAACGTAGGTACTGTTCTCAATAGATGGAAGGTTCTTAAGTCCCATACTTCTGTGTTTGATATCACCTGAAAATGTATATATATATATACAAACTTTTTAAATTATATAACCATAAATAATAACATAGCCCTTTTAACCATAGATCCATCCATCCATAGACAATCTATAGATAATCAGGAGCAAAAAAATCTCTAAAAAGACCTTTGGAGGACTATTTTTATAGTAAATTGTCCGAGAGTTGTTATTTAAATTACGCAATTTATATAAGAAAAAGGATCTTGACAGACGGACGAACAACAAAGTGATCCTATAAGGGTTCCATTGTCCTATGTGGTACGGAACCCTAAAAAGCAAATAGGACAGCTGCTTTCCTGTTTTTTTTTTTAATTTCACAGTTTTTAGTATGGTTTAATATTATAATATAACAAAGCACAATATTTTGTATGTAAAAAATATTTCGGCTTTTTATTTTAAATAAATAAAAAAATTAACATATCTATTTTAATACACCTTATTTTGCCAAATTTTGGTTATAAGTTGCAAGGAAAAAGGCAATTTATATAAAAGTGTAACACCGCGAAGTGCTCTGACTGTACCTCGAGTCCGTTAGGATGGAACACTCCGCTGTGCGTCTGGTTCAGTTTGTCGAACTTGTGGATCTCTTTGCCTGTGTTCACGTCCCACAGTACTCCGTCTGTAATTAAATATATACTTTATGTATTTTTATTACATAACACGTATATAATGTTTAATTTGAAACACTTCATCTCTTATAACTATGTAACATAGCCCGCCCCTGACTCCGTCCACGTATTAAAAAGTAAAAAGTAGCCAATGTGTTCTTTCAGACTATGTTCTATATTTATGTCAAATTTCATCAAGTTCCGTTAAGCCGTTCTAGAGATAACTTCAAACAAACATCCATACATCCAAAATTGGCATTTATAATATTAGTAAGAAATAAGATTATAAAGAGGAAAGATTTCATTGTTTGTTTGTATTGAATTGGCTCAGAAACTACAAAGCTAATTTGAAAGATTCTCCTACTGTTGGGAAGCTACACTATCTCCGGGTAGGGTGATTTTTTTTTTCCGCGCAGACGAATTCAAGTGCATTGTTAGTTGAAAAAGTCTTAAGTTTTAAAAGAATTTGACGCATTTCTCTTTACATAATTTATACTTTCAATTGGAACAAAGAATAGTGTAAAGTGAAACGTATGGGAAATACGTTTGTCTAGCTCTAGAGCGACTGCCGAGATAAGTTCGTACGATTTCGGATTATATTATTTGAAACCATTGTATAGAAAACTGACCTGATAGTACTAATTCATCAGTGGGGTTGAAGGTGGCTCTGTTCTTGGCGTACTGGTTGCTGATAGCTGGCGCGAGGGTCATCAGCTCGCGGCCTGTGCGCGTATCGAACACCGTCGCCGTCTCCCCCTTGGTGCCGATGATGCGTTCATCAGACATCTTGGAGAACTCCACGTACTCCTCATTGTCCAGTTGGAATCTGCTGCCGTAACGTACTGTCTGTCATTTTGCTTTTTTAGAGTGGAAGTGGGGTTGGGAGGGGGTGGGGTGGAGTGTCATGCAAACTACTGTCATTTTGTATTTTTTGGAGTAGAATTGGCATAAGGGAGGACTGATCTGGAGGAAGGAATCTGGTGCGTCGATTTACTTAAGTGGGATAACGACAGAGAGATAGTAAAGAGTAGAAAGGAATATCTATTGTAATTTAGTTGTTTTAGGGTAGAAGAGGGATAAATGGACAAGCGTTATCATATGTGCTGTTATTTTGGCTTTTTTAGGATAAAATCGGGCTAAATGACCAAATATCTTAATTTTTGAGTTGAGCTCACAAGATATGTAATACTTATGGTTGTCTCTGTAATGTGAATGAGAATGAAAGGGATGGCAATATATTACTATATACTAACAGCTGTTCGAATTCCTTCATATTCCATAACGCGGAGAGCGGCCTCCAGGTGGTGGTGGCAGAGGCCAGCAGCAGCAGACCGTCGCGACTAGCCTGTAAGGACACAACTCTTATTCCAGGTCTTTGAAACTTGATAACAAATGAATTGAGTTGTATCTGCTGTAATTTTTATAACCAACATTACCTTTATACATTAAAAAATAAAAAAAGTAGGGTCTGTATGCAATATAATAAAAAAAAAATTGTCCGTTTGTCTGTCTGCTTGTCTGTTTGTTGAGGGTGATCTCCGGAACTGTTGGACCGATATGGGTGTACTTTAGTTGTAAAACTTATGTGTAACTGACCTGCATATGATATATGTAAGATTCATGCACTTGATACGAGTTCTCTTCCGCGCCGCTAAATAAGTTGAATATCCGAATGTCCCCTGATGATGTCGCTGCTAACAGCTGTTGTTGTGTCGGCTGGAAAAAAGAAACTTATTATTAAAATTTTCATAAAATAGTAAAAAAAAACACTAACTCAATCAAAAATATATTATAAGGCGGCAAACGAGCAGTCACTTGAAATTGCCTAAATAGCAGAGGTGACCATTATTCATAGACACATGGGCATCGCTAATACTAAAGGATCTATCTTATCTTCGTATAGAGTTGAAAAATGCAAAATAGATACAAAAAAAAATATTTTGATTAAGATATTAATGGTAGCTAGCCTAGATCATCGACTGTGGAGGCCCATGCATAGACATCGGCAATTGCAGATGCATTGCTTAATTTCAATGGACAGAGGAGGGGACATTCAAAAATTGAACACCGCGAAGTACCGTGAGTGTACTTACATGGAATATAGTATGTGTGAAGAACGCATCATCATCCTGCAGGCGCAGCGTGCGCACGGGGGCGAAGTTCGCGTGCACGAGGCGGCTGTGCGCGCGCTTGAGGGGCGGAGCGCCCAGCTCGCGGCGCACCACGCGCGCGCACACGTTGCCCGCCTCCGCCCCGCGCGCCGCCAGCGCCGCCAGCGTGCTCACGCGCGCCGGCTCCGGACATTTGTGCGGTCTGGCTTACATAAATATATATATAAAACTGATACATTGAGGTTTTTTTTAGAATATATTAGGGTAAACGAACTTTATTATGTTAATATTTAAATACTAGCTGTAGCCCACGACTCCATCCACCGGAATTAAAGAAACTTTTAGTATTGATGTTTTTTTTTATATCATAAGATGGCAAACGAGCGAGCGGCCATCTGAAATCGCTGAAATAACGAAGTGACCGTTGCCCATAGACATACACAATTGCATATGCGTTGCCTACCTTTAATCGACGGAGGAGAGGATGCACAGAAAAAAAATATTTTCTCTTTCCATGCATCATCTCTTCCGGAAAGTCCACTTCCACTTCCCAACCCTTCCTCATAAGAAAAAGGGTGGGAAGGGAAAGAGGAATTAATTACGCCTCCGGGACGCACACTTATCAGACGAAACGCGGAATAGCTTCCACTTGACGCCTGTCTTCTGTATGGTCGTGGTATTTCACCGGGAGAGCCGGGACTATTCGTGCGATGATGTTAAAGCTCGCTCTACCACTGTTAAAGACTATGTTCTATATTTATGTCAAATTGCAGCGAGAAGCATACAGCCAATTTGCATATTCCTTCTAACAAACAATCATCTATACATACAAACATTCGAATTTATAATATTAGTAAGCTTAATATGAAGTAGGATAGTATAGCTCCAGCCTTGAATACATATATATCGTAAACATACAAACATTTCTGAAACAAAAGATCTATACAAGTTTCTAATTAGTAAATCTTACTACGAAATTTTAAATGTGTTTGTTAGTTGGTATCTCCAGAACGGCTGCATAGATCTCGATGAAATGTGACATAGATAAAAAACATAATCTGTAAGAACACATAGACTATTTATTTTTTTAATTTCTTATGTATAATAAATGAAAACATATTTATACGTGTACTCACTCAAACAAATTGAACTGTGGACAAGTAACGACGGGGTTCTTGCATAGTGCATGTTGATTGTACAAGTATTCAGTGATGATGGAGTGGAGAGTGACACGAGGTGGTGAGAGCGCGCGTTCCCCGGCCGCGCTCACCTGCTTCTGTAGTGAACGTTTGTGTTCTGATGGCTGGCTTGCTGGACTGTTTTGTACTTTCCTGGATATACAATGAAGTTGATTATCATTTAATAAGCTTGTGTGCAGATTCACTGGTGTGCTAGATTATTTTGAACCTTCTGATAAAGATAATACAGATGAAAATTGTTTGCAAAAGCTTGTGTTATGATTGAATGGCTTGCTAGACTATTTTGAGCCTTCCTATACTGGTAATAGAGTTGAAAATCCTTCGAAAACGATTATGTAGAGATTCAGTGACTTGCTAGATTATTTTGAATCTTGCTAAAAACAGTATAAAGTTGAATATCGTTCGAAACAATTTTGTTCAAATTGACTGGGATGATATATTATATTAAACCTTCTTCTAAATGTAACATAGTGTAATATCATTCGAAAGCGATTGTATGGAGATTCAATGGCTTGCTAGATTATTTTGAACTTTCCTACAAAGACAATAAAGTTGAATATTGATTCAAAATATTGTATGATGATTTGACTAAGTTGCCAGACTGTTTAGAACCTTCCTATGTATCAAATAAGATTGAATATCAATTTTTAAGAACTACATTAAGCTTAATGTTGGATAATTAAATAATTTCAAGGTCATTTTATCTAGTTTCCAGAGTTTCTACATTTGATTACAATGTGTTACCACTGACCTGATTTTGATGACAGGTGGCAGAGGGCTGTCACTATCTACATGCATATGATTGTGGTCCAGACTGTCGCGGTGCAGCACACCCACTCCAGATCCCATACTACTCGACCGGGATACTGACAGCCGAGGCTGGAAAAACACATATATGTATTACTTAGTCAATATATGAAAATACTAGCTGTCGCTTGTGATTCCTAACTACCGACTAATCACCCTTAACTTAGGGTAGGCTTTGAGCCCCTCGGTGGGGACGTATAGTGAGCTGATGATGAATTAGTAATGTATTTACCCTGACAGGTGTAGATGGTGTGTACACAGGTGGTGGGGGTGGTGCGGGCGCGGAGGTGGCGGGAGGAGGCAGGCGCGCCTCACGCTGCAGCGCCGCAGCACTCTCACGCAGACCGCGAGCCGCCAAGTGCGCCGCCACTAGCTGCAGTAGCTGGCGCTCGTTGTAGTTTATACGAGTCTGTGCTACTACATTCGCCTAAAGATAACAAGAATAAATTCTATATAATGTCACTCTATATAACGACACTCCATATAACGTCATTCTATATAACGTGGAAGTGACTTTATTTGGTTTAACTTGTATTTCAATACGTCAATACACTCCATGTAACGTCGTACACACTCCAATGGCGATTTTTTTAAGTATTATGTAATGTGGAATCACTCTTGAAATGTGTACTCATGTATATGTCAACTCAAATCGTGTAATGCACACTTAACATGTGTAAAACCAAAACTCCACCGCAGCGAAACATATTAATAGATGCCATTACCCTCATTATCTTAGATAAAACAAAGACAACAATATAGACTAATTGTCAGAGCAGTTGAAACTCACAGAAGTGTACACCCTATCCTGTGTAATGTGTAAAATGTGTAATATTAACTCCAAATGTGTAATTTTCACTCAAAATGTGTAATATCAACTTACCCTATGTATATTAGCTAGAGAGGTCTCAAACTCTGCACCCATATGCTTGCTCTTGCCGGAGACTCGCTCTAGCAATTCTAGAGCGTACTTCTGGAACATCACGTGCTCCTGACGCTTCTCCTGCAGTATGGGGTCTCGCATCAATGCTGCAAAACACAACATGTTTAGAAATACTATGCTATGGTTAAAGGTAATAGCGCACTTATAAACACAACGACTACCCGAATTCCGTTCAATAGATGTAAAGTCGACTGTACTCAGTGATCGAGGCGGGGCTTTGCCTAGAGGACCTTGGATGTATGGATACTGTGCTGATCTGATAGGAATAAGGGCAGGTTGATAATAATATTTTGTTTTTTTATAAGAAAAAGATAGGTATGTGATGATGAATAGTAATATTAGTTGTTAGGGAACGTACCCATACTACTCGACCCGTTTAGGGAGGGGGGAGGAGCGGAGTCTTTAAAATACTTCGGTCAGTCACAGGAGCGGGGGGGGGCTCAGATTTTAGTCACGTAGTCGTTACTTGTTTTTTTTTTCATAATACATAATTCACTAGTAATTTAAGAATGCATGCAGTCTTAAGCTATAAAGAAGAGTATGAGCCAAATTATTTCTTTTTTAATTTTTGCCTGTGAAATGATTACAAATCATAATTATGAATTACTACGTAAAAACTAAATGGGGGGTGGCATGGTATGTCTTGGCATGTACTACAAGTGGTCACCGAGGGGAGGGGGGGGGGGTTTGAAAGAACTAAAAAAAAATAAGTCACGTATTATGGGTATGTTCCCTTACATTGTATCTGTGATGTGGTGAAGAGCGGCAGCTTGGATATGATCTGCCGCACAGTGGGGCAGCGCGCGAGTCCTGCCAGCGCGCGACACGCCAGCCCGCGCAGTCTGTCCGCGTCTGTTATTGGTGCTTTCACCAACATAAGAGACAACAGCACCTGAAAAACACATTTTTATATTATACTAGCTGTCACCCCTGGGTCCGTTCGTGTAGATAAACTATAACATGCCCGAATACTTCAGCTATTTTTCAGTTAAAGTACTATCAATATGGGTTTAGGCGTTTCGGAGATTATTTGGAGCAAACTTTGCTGATGTACAGACAGACGGATATTAAATTTGGTATTTTGTTATCAAGTACATATAGAAACTCCAATTTAATTATTATGTATAGATTGTATATGGTCAACTTTTATTTAAATTAATTTAAGATATGAAGTGCCAATAGTTTATGATTAGGGGGTAGGGATTTTAGACTCCGGTCCCGGGTTTGAATCTCATTATTTGAATATTGTTGTCAATCATCTTTTCATAAACCTTATGCTTTGAATTTTGCAAAAAATATAAGGAAATTACTAAAAATCTGTTAAAATAAAAAATAAAAAATCACCGCAACATCGTATCGTATTTTTTTACTATTACAGGGTGATGTTTTTTTTACAAGCTACTTGAGACATACTACTTAGAGAAAATATTAAAAAAGTAAATTTTTTTTTTTTAAATAATTTTAAATTAAGTGGAACTATCAAATTCAAAATAATCTGATTTCTTTTATGGAATAAGTAGTAAAATCTAGGACTTGTAAACGTTAAAAACTAATATTAGAAAGAGATAGACATATACAAAACACGTAGTAAGAAAGAGACAGAGACATTACCATGATGCCGTTGTTCGTTCGTACACTCTCCCATACTTTCTGTATTAGATCCTCGTATGATTTGAGAGCTGTCTTCTTCTTACTGGATCCAGTGATTGAGAAACGAGTCGTTGATGTTCCAGCCTGTAAGATAAAAAGAAAAAAACGGTTACAACGACATTCGAAAAGGCAATATTCTTTCCTAATAATATAGTCATGTAAAATTGAGCTTTATACAAATTGAAATAAGGTTTAATTTTGCTTTTTAATGTCTTGTAAGCTTGCTCTTCAAAAACGTGCAAAGTACAAATAAACCGTATTTCAATCACTTAAGGCTCAATTTCATTTGCGACAAAAAATCTGTTCCTAAGGCAGTTACATGTTTTCAATAGATTAAGTCGTATAACCAATACATATTTTCAACAGATGTCGTATTAAGCGTTATCTTACTAATATTATAAAAGCAAATGTTTAGATGGATGGATGTTTGTTTGAAGGTATCTCCAAAACGGCTGAACGGATCTCGATGAAATTAGGCATACGTATAGAACGTAGTCTGGAAGAACACATAGGCTGCTAGTTTTTTTAAATTCTGCGCGGACGGAGTCGCGGGCAACAGCTAGTTATAAATAATTCTAACAATATTGTTGTATCGTAACTTCAATATTTCGTCCGTCCGAAATGATTACAACAAAATAGTAGTAAATTTAAAATATGATTTAAATTTAAAAAAAAATTAACTACATTTTGAAACATACCCTATGTACTGGTGCGCAGACGCAGTTGACGAGTACATTTAGAGCAGCCTTTTGCACTTCTGGGTCAGGCACTATCTCTCCATCAGCCGCACCTGCAAATAGTATTATAAATGCGAATGTTTAGATGTATGTTTGTTAGAAAACAGCTGCATATATGTCTATGGGCATAGATGTAGAACATAGTATTTTTTTAATGTGGGCAGAAGGAGTCGCGGCCCAAAGCTAGTGTTGCAAATACGAGAACTTCGTAAGAGTTGACCATATAAAGTCAACAAACGTTAAGAATAAGAACCATAAAGGCTGTCTTATACTAAAACAATACTAAACATTTAGTAAGTAATTAAAAACTATGAGTGTTACCTAGCACGATGTTAACACCCGTGGTGAGGTCAGCATCTCTCATGTCTATCTTCTCTGTCAGCAGCAACTGAACTCGCGGCGCCACGCAGCATACAGAGATCACATCCAGCGCTGACCGGACTGTCTCTGCCCTGCATATATACAGGGTGTTATCAGCTCACTATACATCACCACTACAGGGCTAGGAACCTACCTTACCTTATGTGACTGGGCCATATAGTCAATGCTGGCCCAGTACGGGTTGATATACAGGATGTAACAAGAATACAAAAGATTTGTGATATCGACAAATTATAGAACTTATTTTCTTGGATAGCATTTTGACCTAAAACGTCGACAAGGTAAGGGTCACAAGTAACGTGATCTTTACCACAGTCACGTGATCCATCACCACAGTCACAAGTCACGTGACCTTTACCACAGTCACAAGTCACGTGATCCATCACCACAGTCAAAAGTCACGTGACCTTTACCACAGTCACAAGTCACGTGACCTTTACCACAGTCACAAGTCACGTGACCCTTACCACAGTCATAAGGCACGTAATTCTTTATAACAGTCGCATGTCACGTGATCCTTTATAACAGTCACAAGTCACGTGACCTTTACCAGTCACAAGTCACGAGACCAGCGTCGTCCGCCCTTACATCAATGCCAGACCAAACTCGCAAGCAGTGTTATCGAGCATACAATACCTGCCGTTAAAGTTCCACTCGTACGCGTAGCCGACGACCTGCAGCAGTAAGGCGACGCCGCCTAATTCAAGTAACTCGTCCACTGGAGACCAGCGAGACCACGCAACGCTTTGTAACAGCTCGATTTGCTCCTGGATCTCTTCTGGTGATGACTTTGACGCCTGAAATAAAAAAAAAAGTGTGTTTAAAAACTATGTTAAAAAAAATCACCTGATTAGGGTAAGGAGTATTCGAATCTCAGCATTTATCAATGTTTTTTACATATGTTCATTTATCAGACGTTCTTATGGTTAAGGAAAACATCGAGATGCTGCACATATCTGAGAAGAAATTCAAAGATATGTGAAGTCAACCCGCACTGGGCCAATGACTATGGTCTAGTGACCTAACTAAGGGTAGGCTCCGAGCACCTAAGTAGTTATAGTGAGCTAATGAGGGTAAGGACCCTATTGAGTCAGACGATTTTTACTCGTATGTGACCTGTTGAGTCTAAATGGCCTATTTTGACAAATAAGGTGTCATTTGATCCGTATTCTGCGTCTGAGTGTCAAATCAGTCAGTTTTATAGTTTTTTTAATAACCAAATAGTATTTATATGTTTGATATCTTCCTTTTCATCTATCTATCTCTCTCTTACCTTATACGGCGGTGGTTCTGGTACGTTATCCCCTTGTTGTCTCGCGACTTGTGCAGCGCGGAGCCTTAAATGTGCTTCTAAATATCTGCAGAGTTAAATGTTTATTATAAACAAATATATAACCACAATAATATGACATTTGTATAGAATTAACTTAAGAGTAAGGAATATATAAGGAAAATATTTTCTGTACAGTCAGCTGCATAAATATGTACACATTTACAAAATATTAGAAAAAAAATTCTGTTTCACATATATGTATGTACAGTCAGGTGCTCGTCGCTCATCGTACAGGAGGTTGGCCGTCAGCTCAGTGAACTTTTGACGGTCTTATGCCAGGCGAAATAAATGTTCCACGCTGGACGTCCATTCCTTGATATATCGCAGCGATTTTGCTCATCATAATTAGTTTGAGAAGGTCGTATTCCTCGAGTCAGGTGCATAAATATGTAAAAATTTATAAAACTTAAGAAACTTATAAAGGGTTTCGGTTTCAAATATACATATGCTCGTATTAGCATGTATTTAAGATCAGATGAATACGTACGGCTACGTATATATATTTTTTAACCGAAGGCATATAGATGTTTCCGTAGTTACTAATGTGTACATATTTATGCATCTGACTGTACATATATATTAGTGAAAAAGAGAGCAAATAAAAGTTTCGTTAATTTTAACATATTGATGTAGCTGACTGTACAACCTCTTTTCTGTTGCTCTATAAATGGACTGGCTATAAGAAGTATTATTTTGTGCCTATTTTATTTTCGCCATTTCAATGATGGAATGAAAGAGTTGAAGATATTACAAAAGTTAACCTTCTCAAGGCGACGCAGACGTGACGTACAATCTGACGTGCGGCGCAAGTCTCATCCTCGGAGACTCGAGACTCTTCCTCATCAGAGCCCAGTATTGGCAGTGTTGATATTACATTGTAGAGCTTACGTAATCCATCCTAAATATAAAGAAATTAAAATTAATACTAGTTGTCGCCCGTGACTCTGTCTGTGCGGAATTTAAACAAAATCTTGCCAGTACATATGTTGTATGTATGTACATTACAAAGCAATCCATTGAGCTGTTATACAGAGCGTTTCTAACATTCATACATACATCCAAACATTCGCATTTATAATATTAGTAAGATGCGAATGTTTCGATGGATGGATGTATGTTTGTTAGAAGGTGTCTCCAGAACGTCTGCATGAATTTCGCTGAAATTTGGCAATGATATAGAACATAGTCTGTAAAAACTCATAGGCTACTTATTAAGTTTTTTTTAATTACATATCTATTGTTATTCTCCAAAAAATCTAAAAACAAATTTTAAAACATATATTTATAAGCAAATCATTTTAAATAGTTTTAATATTAAAAAGACAATGTATTACTGACCTGGTTATCAAACTCCTCTAAGATAACACGGAACTGGAAGGAGAGACCAAAGAACATGGTCGCATGACAACGTCCAGAGTCGTGCGAACATTCCAGTAACCATAGCGCGTATCTGTAAAATAAAAAAAACATTTTTTTTAAATTTAAAGACGACGGAAAATAACGAGGAAGGAAAAGAACGGTTGGATTTAAATAAATTTAAAAAAATAATATAAAAAAGTTAAAAGGAAAAATGAAAATAATATGAATCTTTTTTCCTTTACTCCGATAAAGGAAAAAAAGATTAGAAAACACTGTTTGTTTGGTAATATATTTATTAATATATAATATACTAAATAAAAAAAAATTAAAGAAAAAAGTATAAAGAGGTTCCGTATGTGTCGGCAACAGAATAATGAAAATCTTTTATATGGCATTTCCTATCTTTTTAGAGTTCCGTACATCGAAATGAAAAAACCCTTATAGGATTTTGTTGCCCGTCTGTCTTTTAAGACTTATTTTAAAGACTACCCATTTTTTTTGTATAACCTATGACATCATGGTTATAGTGCCTTCCTTCAAGATCATAAAACCTTTGCCAGCGTGGATTTTAGTGGTTTAAATCCCATATAACCCTGTCATAAGATTAATTTATCTTACTAATATTATAAATGCGAATATTTAGATGGATGTTTGTTTGAAGTTATCTATAAAAATGGCTGAACAGATATTGATAAAATTTGGCATACATATAGAACATAGTCTACTAATTAAGTTTTTTTAATTCCGTTCAGACAGAGTTGCGGGCGACTGCTAGTTTACAAATAATCCGGAATCATATGATGAATTCAATTGTCTAAACTAGCTATCGCCCGCGTCTCCGTCCGCACGGAGTAGCCTCTCCGTTCTTCCAGACCTACATCCATCCATCTAAAAATTCATATTTATAATATTAAGAAGTAATATGAACAGTGACTCTTAAAATCAAGGTCTTTATAAGATTTCTCCCAATTAAAAAAAGGTATGACGTGACAATATACAATCCTGTATACTAACTTGACGAGGTCAGTCAGTGTTGCTCTGGGCAGCAGACAGACGCGCTCCATAGCATCCTCGCAGTACGCCAGGTAGTACAAACAGATGGACACACCAGTCGCAGCAACAGACGGTCTTGGTACTTCTAGGAACTTCTGCAAATTCATATCATAGTGTTACACTGGGTTTCCATTGTCTTTGACATATTGTCATCTTTTTTTAGTTTTTTTTTTTATTTAAAAATATTAGCAGATTTTTTTTTTGTATATTTACTAATATTTCTTTAACCATTCCAACTAAGCTGTAGAGTTGTGCTAGGATATGGTTTACGACAATAGTCGAATGACGGGATTCGAACCCCCGACCTCGTGATCGGAAATCCGTACCCTTAATTATTAGGCTATTGACGCTTTAGACCTCTTACTTTATCTTTGATAAAACAGAAATAATATGTCTTAAAATAAGTTTTTTTTTAAATATTATAATATGTTGAAATAGCGATTATACCGTTGCTAGACATACGCTATTGCAGATACGTTGCCTAACTTTATTAGAATATTTTCCCTTCCCAAGTCTTTTCCTGCATCAAATACATTTTCCCTTTCCATTGCCTTACAAAAAAAAATAGTTAAGGTAAAGAGAACTAAAACTAGGCCTGCATTTTCCAAAATTATTTAACGATTCCTAACCATTACCATCGTGAGTTTCCGAGACCAAAATATGAAATATTTATTTAAAACATATTGTTATCTCTGTTTATCTAAGACTAGCTGTCGCCCGCGACTCCGTCCGCGTGGATATATAAAAAAACTTAATTAGTGTAGCCCACCCATCCATCCATCCACAAAACATCCATCTAAATCGCATTTATAATATTAGTTAGTTAAATAAAAAGCAGCTCTTCAACGCATAATTTCGAAAAAAAATAGTATCCTATGTCCGTCTCCTGGCTCTAAGCTACCTCCTCAACAATTTTCAGGCATATCGGTAAAGCCGTTCTTGAGTTATAAATAGTGTAACTAACACCACTTTCTTTTATATATATATATATATATATATATATATATATATATATATATATAGATGAATTTTCAGAAACCCACGGTAAGTAAATTAAATATTATAAACCCACTATTATTAAGCATCTGACCTGTAATCCACCCATATTGATGAAATCAATAGAGAATTTCTTATGACAGAGCAACGCTGCGAGGTATTTGAGAGCTTCGAAGGCGAGTCTGGAGTCGCGGGACTCGCGCACATTCAGGTAACCCAGGATCAGACCTAGGGCGTTCTGTTCAAACACGTGCGATAGGAACTGCGAAAAAAATACACAATCTTACTAATATAAACTAGATGTTGCCCGCGACTTTACGCGCAGAATTAAAAAAAATATTAAATAAGTAGACTGTGTTCTATATTTATGGTAAATTTTATCGAGATATATTGAGTCGTTTTGGAGATATATTTTAACATCTATCCATCCATACATTCGCATTTATAATATTAGTAAGATAGTAAGCGAATATTTGGATGGGTGTATGTTAAAAGATATCTTTAAAACGGCTGCATTTTGCTGAAATTTGGAATAACATATTCTGGAAGAACACATAGCCTACTAATTTTTTTTTAATTCAAGACAGTAGTTTTATACATATGGAAAAAAATAGTTTTTAATAATTAAAAACTCACTATAGAGGAAAAATACGAATAAAGAAATATAGCTTAGATTCTCCTTTATCCAGGTTTGGCTATATTACCTCTTGGTACTCCCCCATTGGTGTTAGATATCGTAGTATCAGCATTTGTTTGGTCGCGTCCGTCGGTGGATGAATTTGTATGTTACCTAAAGAAAAAAAAATATATTTAACTCAAGGAGTGAGAGAGATGGACATATATAGACAGAAGTGAAAGAGAGAGACATCATTAAAGCAATGCTTCCTAAGTCACTTCAAAATTTTTACAACCGGTCATTAAAATTACCCAAAACAAATGCACACTTTTGCATGCAGAGAGAAAATTTAAAAAATAGTTTTTCTTTGTAAACAAACCAAATCTTACTATTATAAAGATGGATGGATGGATGTTTGAAGGTATCTCCAGAACGGCTGAACAGATCTCCCTAAAATTTGGCATACATATAGAACATAGTCTGGAAGAACAAATAGGCTATTAATTAAGTTTTTTTACCACTGCGCGTGGACGGAGTCGCGGGCGACAGCTAGTATATCATATTAGCGAAATATATTTTTTAATATTGCATACAGATACGGTTAATAAATAATTGTATAGATAAGTGAACAAACCAATAACGTAGGTCTCCATCTCCGCCCAACTGGAGTTAGAAGAGGGGTCATGTATGAGTGGCGGCTGCGCAGGCGTAGGCAGCGGCGGCCGCGCCGGGGGAGACATCAGCGCGCACTGCTCCGGAGATCTTGCACTTGCTGGAAATATACATATACCATTTTTATAAACAAATATTTAATCTTACTTATATACTAGCTAGCTATACTAGTTGTCGCCCGCGATTCCGTCCGCATGGAATAAAAAAAACTTAATAAGTAGCCTATGTGTTCTTCCAGACTATGTTCTATATGTCAAATTTCATCAAAATCCTTTCAGCCATTCCGGAGATGCCTTCAAACAAACATCCATCCATCCAAACATTTGCATTTTTATTAGTAAGATTTTTCGAGACGCCCATAGCAGCGTATGTCGCCGTATTCAACTACTTCGAGCCAATACTTACAATTATAATTTTTAATTGGTGTTTCTGGATCTTTGCTGGCTTGTGGAGGTGTCTCGTCTATCAACATTTCACTCCCTCCTCCATCATCTTTCTCTCGATCTGAAAGGAAAAAAAAATAAAAAAATATGAAAAACAAAAAAAAGGGAGACAAAAAATTGTAAGTCTAATCTATTTTTATATATTCTTTTAGAGGATTTCACTATTCACGTAATTTTTTTTTCAGTATATTTTTAACCTTTCATCTCTCACAGAGAGTTTAAAAATTAAAAAAATTAACAGTGGTAGAGCGAGCTTTAACAGGTTCGCACGAATTGTCCCGGCTCGCCTGGTGAAATACCACGACCATACAGAAGATACGCGTCAAGTGGAAGCTATTCCAACTACAGTCTGATGAGTGTGCGTCCCGGAGGCCTAATTTAATCCTCTTTCCCTTCCCACCCTTTTTCTCATAAGGAATGGATGGAAAGTGGAAGTGAACTTTCTGGATGAGAGTATGCATGGAAAGGGAAAATATTTTCTTTCTATGCTTCCTCTCCTCCATCGATTAAAGGTAGGCAACGCATATACAATTGCGTATGTCTATGAGCAACGGTCACTTCGCTGTTTCAAGTGGCCGCTCGCTCGTTTGCCATCTTATGATATCAAAAAAAACTATCCTATAACATAACTGGGTGCATCAGCTGCCTTCCAGTAAAATCCCAGCAAAATCATTCCAACCGTTCCTCATATTACACAGAACAAACCCTGCATACAAACATACAGACAGACATGAATTTCAAAAATTAGTTTTTTGCCATTAGCAATGCAATTATGTATACGATTTCTCTTTCTCAATATCACATACAGACACTCCAATATTAATATGTATAGAATAATTGTTATTTTTAGTACTTACTAGCTATCACCCGCGACTACGTCCGCGCGGTAAAAAGAAATATATGAGTAGTCTATGTGTTCGTCCAGACTATGTTCTACATCTATGACAAATTTCAGTGTGATCTATGCAGCCGTTCTGGACATACCTTCTAACAAACATCCATCTATCCATACATCCAAACATTCGCATTTATAATATATATTTTTTTATATCAAAAGGTGGCAAACGAGCGAGCAGCCACCTCAAATCGCTGAAATAGCGAAGTGACTGCTGCCCATAGACATACGCAATTGCATATGCGTTGCCTACCTTTAATAGACGGAGGAGAGATGCACAGAAAGAAAATATCTTCCCTTTCCATGCATCCTCTCATCCAGAAATTCCACTTCCACTTTCCATCCTTTCCTTATAAAGAAAAGGATGGGTAGGGAAAGAGGAGTAAATTAGGCCTCCGGGACGCACACTTATCAGACTGTAGTTGGAATAGCTTCCACTTGAGGCGTGTCTTCTGTATGGTCGTGGTATTTCACCAGGCGAGCCGGGACAATTCGTGCGAAGATGTTAAAACTCGCTCTACCACTATTAGTAAGTATTAACTTACCTTTTTTATCGACAATTGGTCCGTTGCTTTTAATATCATTGTTCCTTTTCTTATCAAATCTAGCGAAATGCCGAGTCTGGTTTGGCGGCGTCACTGCATTTTGTGTCGTCTGCTGTAATACATAGAACACATATTACAATGTCAAATACACTGATACTGATTGAACAATATACAGCATGTCTCAAAATTCAACGACAAAGTTTTTTTTTTAGCTTAACTGCAATTAATAGCTATGTTACTTAGGTAGCTAATACAAGAAATTACAGGAATATGTTCATATATGTAGCCAGTGTCTAAGAAAAGTTACAAGAACACATTGGCTACTAATTAAGTTTTTTTTATTTTGTTTGACCGAAGGCCTAATTTAGTCCTCTTTCCCTTTCCACACTTTTTCTTATAAGGAAGGACTTTCCAGATGAGAGGATGCATGGAAAGGGAAGATATTTTCTTTCTGTGCATCCTCTCCTCCGTCCATTAAAGTTAGGCAACGCATATGCAATTGCGTATGTATATGGGCAACGGTCACTTCTCTATTTCAGCAATTTCAGGTGACCGCTCGCTCGTTTGCCACCTTATGATATAAAAAAAGTCAGCAACATCTAGTTGCTTTTATAAAGATTTAATTATTTTAGATATGTTAGTTATAACATCTCATTTCTATTGAATTTTACATACAAAATTTCTTTATCTTTCAAACATCAAGTTTACTTTCTCGCTGTACATGGGGTCCTACATAAAAAATCACTGGTTTATACCAAGAATATTTTCTAGTACTAAATATCCTGCCATGTATCAATGTGTTTTTCCATTTTTGATTTACATATGTAAATTTATCCGATGTTACGGTGAAGGAAAACATCGTGATGCTGCACATATCTGAGAAGAAATTCAAAGATATGTGTGAAGTCAACCCGCACTTGGTCAGCGTGGTTGACTATGACCTAGTCACATAACTTAGGGTAGGCTCCGAGCCCCTCGGTGCTGAAGACGACTAACTATTAAGCGTCGTTAATGATCAATTAACGTTTATGAGTGGTAATTAATTAAGATTATTTACCTTATCCTCTTGAGTTTTATTTCTTAACTCATGTAGCCTCCTTAGCATTAGTGGTACTAGCATCGCATTTAAATCCCTGCAACAAAAATATTCTATTTTTATACATTCTATTTTCCATATCTTACTTCTTACTAATATTATAAATGCGAATATTTGGATGTATGGATGAATGGAGGTATCTCCGGAACGGTTGAATTACAGAAATTTGGCATAGATGTAGAGCATAGTTTGGTAGAACACATAGGCTACTTATTAATTCCGTGCGGACGGAGTCGACAGCTAGTATGAATATAATTTTACATATGTCGAACATTCATATGCGAGAGTCCATGGGACAAAGATATTTTTCTCGCTTATAGAAGTTTCTCACTTATCCAGGTCCGAGATTTTTTTTTTTAAATTGAACTTCCAAATGCTTCAAAAATAACCACTCTACAGGATTTTATATAGTTTTTTTTTTTAATATTTGTTCATATTACCTAAAATTAGTAGCAATTTCCTGCACTTCCATAGCGGCAGCAACAAGGCCTGTGGCATAACATTGCAGCGGCTCCGGAGACTTTGTCGCCCAACTAACTAGCCGTTGTATTAAAGCTTCATTGTCCTGAAAACATAGAATCTAATGTAAGTTTTTTTTAATCTTACTAATATTATAAATGTGAATGTTTAGATGGATGTTTCTTTGAATATATCTCCAAAACTGCTGAACGAATCTTGATTAAATATGACATACATATAGAACATACTCTAGAACACATTCTACTTATTAAGTCTGTTTATAAATCCGCGCGGACGGAGTCGCGGGTTAGAGCTAGTTAAATTATAATTCAACTTTTTAAACTAACCTGAAATACAACACTCATTTCTAAACCCGGCATCAGATCAAGTGTAAGTCGACACGCGGCTACATTCAGTTTGAACACATCCCTGCCTGTGATGTTTTGCCGCGAGTAATATGTATCTCTAACATAATCATTTACTAGCTGTAATAAAAACAAATTCAAATTAAACTTAAAGTCATAAAACATAATAACATGGTCGGTGGCTTAGGGGTTAAGCACTTGATTTGTAATCCACAGGTCCTGGGTTAGAATCCCGTCATGTACTGATGTGTTTTACAGATTACATGGGTCGTGAAAACATAGCGGTGCTGCACATATATATGAAGAAATTTCAAAGATATGTATGAAGTGTGAATGGAGCGTCGGTGGCTCAGGGGTTTAAGCACTTGACTTGCAATCTGCAGGTCCTGGGTTTGAATCCCGTCATGTACCAATGTGTTTTTCAATTTCCGATTTACATATGTACATTTATCCGACGTTCTGAGAAGAAATTCAAAGATGGCCTAATCACCCATAACTTAGGGTAGGCTCCGATCCCCTCGGTGGGGACTTATAGTGAGCTATGATGATGTATGAAGTTAACCCGCACTGGACCAGCATGGTTGACTATGGCTTAGTCACCTAATTTTAAATAGACTCTGAGTCCCTCACTGTGGATGTATATTGAGCTGATGATGAAAATATAACTTCTCTATAATCTTGTGGGTTTCCATTGTATAAAAACAAGTAAATCTACATTCAAATTTATAAATAAACTAACTAATGTGACTAACTAGGGTGACGCTATGACCCAAAGGAAAGAAAAGGAGCTAGAAAGGTACAAAATCAGCTTTGCAACCCTACAGGATGTAAGATAATATTTATAAATATGATTTAAAAATTAATCTGTAATTTATTCCTTAAGAGTCATCTATTAGTCGATTTTATTATCTAAAAGTAGTTTAATAGTTTTCGAGTTTATTCCAATAAACTAGCAGAATATTTACATGTGTATTTACCTTAGTCATAAAACTGTCTTTCTTAAACATAACTTTTAACGCCTGGCCCAACGCGCACTCTGGGTCTGTACGGGACGGTGGACGTTCATCAAATGGGTCAGGATCTTTCTTCAGAAAATTCTCTGTTTCCGCTTCTATAACCTCTGCAATCCTGAAAAGTGGGTAATTTTCAATATATGTTCCTTGAATATATGTGCAGTTTCAAAGTTATTGACAATGGATGAATGGATGTTTGTTAGAAGGTATCTCCGGAACTGCTCAACAGATCTTGATGAAATTTGGCACAGATGTAGAACATAGTCTGGCACAACACATGGACTACTTGTCATTATTTAATTTCACACGGACTGAGTCACACGTGACAGACAAAAATGTCTTAAAAATTTATATTTTTTTTTTGTTAAGAATTATTAATTATATATTATTTGTATTTAATATATGTTTTCAAACATAATAATAACTTATAATTTATGAAATCTAAATAATCTAACACATAAAAAGAGACCTTGATATATAAATTACCTTTGTAAATAGAACAAAGAGTATAATTTGGCAGATCTCCCAAAAACATTTCTATTACATTGAAAATTACTATTTTACTATTATATGGTATATAAATTATTTACTTTAAATTTAGACTTTAATATATATGTGTGACGTCAACCAACCCGCACTGGGCCAGCGTGGTTGACTATGGCCTAATCACCCTTTATTTAGGATAGTCTCCGAGCTCCTGGGTGGGGACGTATAGTGAGTTGATGATGATGATGATATAAGTTTCAGTATTTTACAAAACATATTCGGTCTTAGGCACATAATTCTTACATGGTACATCTTACTAATGTTATAAATGCAAAAAATGGTTAGATGTTTGTTAGCTTAGAAATGATTAAATGGATTTGGATTAAAGTTGCCGAAGATAAATTACTATTCAAAATAGCACATAGGGTACTTTAATTTTTTTTTTAGGGACAATCTATTAATATAATAAATGTTAATCATTGTTTTTGAGGTGAGATAACACCAACTTGTGATAACATGTATTTTCTTAATTGAACAAGTAAATTTCATAAGTCGATGAAAGATATGTCTTTTAAATTAATTAATTTAAAATAACTTTACAAAAGTTATCTTAATAGGAAAGTTATCATGTTGAAATAGAAATTATGAAATGTTGTGAAACTTAGATTCGAAATTTAAATAGTTTCGACAAGTTCCAAAACTTTTGAACGTAAACAATGTTAAAAATCATAATTATTAAGATTGATATTCCATATAATGATTGAGATTATGTAAAATCGTTATTTTACGTCCCTTGTTTTAGTATAGTTATTTTCCATAGTTTAAACGCAGTTTACACCGGCTACAATAAGATAGCATGCTACGAAAGTATACAATGTGCTACTTTTGACATTTCAGTATAAACATCTCACCTGGTGAGTGTTGGTATGGGGTCATAGTTAGGAGTCTGATGTTGCTCTTCCCACTGTCTGAGAAGTTCAGTAACTTCTTGTGCTGATGCTGAATCCATTATAAAAACATTCACTTTAATATTTTTTACAACATTGAAATATAACCTCACTAGATCAAAACAACTGTCACTTATATTTTACTATTCTGTGCACAGTGACTCTTTAGATGGTGTGCTGACGGATAAAAATTAACTTATTATGTACATTTTTATCATATGTAATTTATTATCTACAATAAGTCTAAATTGTAATAAAAA